TTTGAACCCGGTAACATGATTAGGAAAAGAATTATCCATAAAACCAGGGGGTTGCTCAGCATATACTTCCTCTTCAATAGATCCATTTAAAAAAGCGCTTTTCATATCCATTTGAAATAATTTAAAACTTTTAAAACTTGCAAAAACTAAGAACATTCTAATGGATTCCAACCTTGTAACTGGGGCAAAAGTTTCATCATAATCTATACCCTCCTCTTGATTGTATTCTTGGGCAACTAAATGAGCTTTGTTTCTTGTGACTATGCCATGTTCATCAAGTTTGTTTCTAAAAACCCATTTAGTTCCAATAATATGAACATTATTATGTCTAGGAACTAGTTTCCAAACATTATTTCTTTAAAAATTATTTAGTTCATCATGCATTGCTAGAACCCAAAACTCATTTTTTAAAGCATCATTTATCTTTTTAGGTTCTATTTGAGATAGGAAGGCAACATTACCACACTCACTCAAAGTTTTTGAGCGAGTTAGAACCCCTTGTGAAGGATTCTCTATTATTTGCTCCTTTGGATGATTTGGTGTAAATTTCCATGCTTTGGAGAGTTCTTCTTGCTCTTGCTCTTGAATGGTGTTGCTATCCCCATCCTTTTGAGCATCTATCGAGGGTGTTTCATTTAGTTGCCAAAATTCCAATCCTCCCTCAACATCATCATCATCTTTCCTAGGCAAACCAGCTTGTACACCAATATTAGTCTCATCAAAAGTAACGTTTATAGATTCTTCAACAACAAGAGTTCGTTTGTTGAAGACCCTATAAGCTTTACTTCTAGGTGCATATTCTAAGAAAATACTAATATCAATTTTTGAATCAAATTTATCATGGTGATCTTTGGTGTTCAAGATAAAACATTTACAATAAAAAATACGAAAGTATCCAATAAAAGGGATTTTTCCATAAAATAGTTCATAAGGAGTTTTTCTAAGCTTTTGTCGAATCAAAACACGATTCAAAACGTGACAAGCTGTATTGACAGCTTCCGTCCAAAAATATTTAGGTAAATCAAAAGCATTTATCATTGTTCGTGCCATATCTTGTATGGTGTGACTTTTCTGTTCAACAACACCATTTTGTTGTGGTGTTCTCGGAGCAAAAAATACATGAGTTATACCACGATATGCACAAAAATTATTAAAAAATTTATTTTGAAATTCACCACCATGATCACTTCTAATTTTAACAATATTCAACTCTTTTCATTTTTAATTCTTTTAACATAATTTGAAAATTCTTCAAAACATTCATCTTTACTACCAAGAAAGATTGTCCATATAAAACGAGAGAAATCATCAATGATAACAAAAACATAGTGTTTGCCTCCTAGAGAGGTAACACGCATAGGACCAAAGAGATCAAGATGAAATAATTGTAAGGGTTTAGAAGTTGATACCTCATTAATGGATTTGAAGGTAGACTTAGTTTATTTACCTTTAGCACAATCTTCACAAATGATATCTTTGATGAAATACAAATTTGGTAACCCTTTTACAAGATTCCTTTTGGATAGCTTGGATATCAACTCCATGTTGGCGTGTCCAAGTCTCTTATGTCAAATCCAAGGATTTTCATTAACCGTCGCAAAGCATTTAACATCTTGATCTACTAGCTGATTCATCTAAAAAATATATACATTAGATTTTCTATTAGCAACAAAAATAATTTTTCCATTTGAGCTAACAATGCACTTATCCGGTTTAAAAGAAATATCAAAACCTTTATTACTTAATTGGCTAATACTAAGAAGATTATGATTTAAGCCACTAACCAAATAAACATCCTCTATTACGGGAGAAGGTATCTTACCAATGCATCCAATACCTATGATTTTACCTTTCTCACCGCCACCGAAGGAGACGTTACCTCCTTCAATCTTTGATAGGGTTGCAAATAGCTCTTTGTTACCCGTCATATAATATGAGCAACCACTATCAAGGTACCACATCTCTCTACGTCATGTTCATGAGGTTTCCTACATAAGATGAAGGTGTAGTAACTTTAGGTACCCAAATCTTGGGTCCTTAGTTGTTAGTAAACTTGGTACCTTTGGGTATCCATGTCATTCCATAATAATCATGGTTATCTTTAATCCTACAATGAGTGGAGATATGACCATGTTTCATGCCATATGTATACACAAAATTTCTCTTGTGTGTAGAATCATAAGATCTATGAAACCTATTTCTCTCAAGGTGATGATGACTAGAATATGCATGAGTAGGTTTAACTCTAGCACTTTCAATTTTAAGTCTTTCAATTTTAGATCTTAATTGTTTTTTTTTCAAAATCAAGATCCCCTAGCAATTCATCTTTTAGAGTAAGTGAGGATTGTAGTTGCTCAAATTTGGAATCACAAGAAGTATGCAATTTTTTAAAGAAAGAGTATTCTTTTGTCATTCTTTTAAACTCAATGTTTAACTATTCTAATGCGGTTGCTAGATCACATTGCAAGTAAAAAGATTCACTTTCAGTATCGGATATTACCTCCTTTTCATAAGCCATAAAGTAAATGTTGGGATCATGAATAGCAATCTTTGCTCTTTCTTCATTGCTATCCGAATCGTTGGTTCGGATTCCTCCCATCCGGCATACATGTCTTTCTTCTTCTTGTATTTCAAATATTTCTCCTTGAGCTTAGGGCAATCTTTGGCAATATGACCTGATTCGTTGCATTCAAAATATTTTCCTACACGCGAAAAAAATATATTGTTAGATCAGGGATTAAACTTCTTATTCATTCTTATGAGTCTTGATATTCTTCTAGAGAGGTGAGTTACTTCTCTAGAAAAATCAACTTCACTATCCAAAGATGAGGAGTTATCACTAGCTCCCTTGAGAGCTATGGTCTTCATTTTTGGGGATGGCTCCTCAACTTCCCGTGGGGTCACTTCCTCTTTCTCCTTCCCTTTAAGCTTCTTTTCATGAACCTTAAACTTGCCGATGAGGCCATCGAGAGCTAGAGTGGTAAGATCGTGAGCTTCCTCTATGGCCATAGCTTTGGGTTCTCACGCTGGAGTCAATGAGCGAAGGAGCTTGTAGTTCGTCTCTTGAATAGTCAATTTCTTGTCAAGACCATGCAATTCATTGATGATATTAGTAAAGCGAGAAAACGTAGCATCAATGGATTCATTAGGAAGCATTTTAAATAACTCATAGTCATGCATAAGCCCACTAATTTTAGACTTCTTAACTTGGGGGGTTCCTTCATGTGTAATACATAATTTCACCCAAATTTCGTGTGCGGTTGCACATGTGGAGACCCTATTATACTCATTTGGGGAAAGATCACAAATTAAGGCATTCATGACCTTAGCATTGAGATTAGCTTGGAGTCTTTCTCCATCGGTCATGTTACTAATCTTGGACTTTTCTACATACTTCTTTTCTATGAGCTCTAAAATGTCAAGATCAATGCAATGAAGGTAAATCCTCATTCTAGCTTTCCAATAGGCAAAATTGTTACTGGTGAAAAGTGGGGGTCTAGTGGTGGATTGTTCCTCAAGCATATGCACATTCAATGAAGCCTCCATAGAATCTTTTCTCTAAGGTGGTTAGACCAAAAACAAATATAAAGACCAAGCTCTGATACCAATTGTTGGACCCTAGAGGAGGGGTGATTAGGGTCTTGAGGTAATAATTGTGCAATAAAAATTAAGACAATGCAATAAACCACAAAATAGAAAACCAAAGTAAATGAGATAAGGTTAGAGATCGTTATCTAAGTGACGTGTGATGTGTTAACGAGGTTCGGTCCGCTGACCTACGTCCCCGCTCCCCACTCTCGAGGAGAATCCACTACACAACCCGGTTTGGAAGTCAGAACTTCTTCTATACAACGATCTCAACGAGATATCACAACCACATAATTTATCTCCACACGATCAAGCTCACAACAGTAGTAAATGGTGTAAATTCTCTCTCTTTAAAGTAACCCTATTGCAAGGAGAAAGATCACACTTGAAGCTTGAGATGTGAACTTGAAAACAGTGAAAAACAGGAATGAAAATTTTGGTTCTTTTGAAAACAATAAACTAAATACTAAGGATTTGCAATGAGCTTGGATGGCTCTGAAGAAGGGGGTTATGAGGGTTTAAATAGGAAGAAGAACAGCAGCCAAAACCCATACCCAAATCCCCAAAATCCCACAAAAAAGATTTTCTGATTCTGTACCAAACTAACCATTGGGCGATCAGTGGTCGACCGTGAGATTTTCGCAGTCGACCGCGAAGGTTTCCAAGGTCAAAGAAAAGCTGCTACAAAGGCTATGGTCGACCGTGACGGTCGACCGTGGAAACTGCTGTAATCAGTTTAGTCGACCGTGATGGTCAACCGCAGGAGTTCCCAACCCATCTAAATAGAACCGCCATGGTCGACCGCATTAGTTGTTGCTGGCTCCTGAGGGAAAAACCCTGGTGCGGTCGACCGTGGCGGTCGATCGCGAACTGATACAGGCTGATACATGGTTTAAAACTGTTTTTGACTCTTTTAAAAATCTGTAAAAATACTCAAATATTTTCTAAAAATTGTATAACTTTGTAAAATGTTTTTAACACTAAAAATAAACTGTTTAGAAAAGAAATTTTGCGAATAGGTCCTCATACTTGTGAAAAACTATATTTATCAAAATCGTCAAAAATATGAGTATGAAAATGTGTGTGTGATATCCCAATAGCTTCAAATAAAATCTACAACTACTTGCCTTCATTCTAGCACTAGAGAGAAAATAAAAACAGCAAATATCTCTCACATAGAAATACGTTTCTTGAGTCTTGATATTGCTTTAGAGTTGATAAAGCTTCTTATTGCATTTAGTGTTCTTGATTAAACATTGCTTCATCACTATGCCTCCTCCTCTTTTGGATATCGTCATTGTAGCTCATATTCCATCCAATCCTTCATAAATGGTACTAACAAGCTTGATATATATATATATATATATATATATATATATAAAGTCATCATATTTATTCAGGCGCCTTAACTTTGAATATTCTAATAACTCTTCTAACTGAAATTTGTTTACCGTCAATTGCAGCTAGAAATACATTTTGCAGATTGCATTTCCAATTGCAGTTGCAATTTTTAGTGAACCAACCATCTTCTACATGATAATAAATCTTCAGTCAGATTCACCGAAAAGAGAAAATCTAGAAAATGCAATAATGCCACAAAGGCGAGATCCAAAACACAATCACATAGCTAGCAGATCGTTTATCAGATGCAATATTTCCCATGGTCAGATGAGACATAGGAGACCATGATTCTTGTTAAACGAACAAAAGTGACATAGGAAGGGAATTGCTAGATTTCTTGCATGATAGTCTATTACAGAGGCAAAGCTTTATTTCATTATAATAAGTAGCTTTGTGACCTTTGTCTCTATCCTATTGAAATGAATAGATAATATATCGGAAAGAAAAGGTCATACACATTGCAGAGTCTTCATTTAGAATACAAGTACAGGTTGACTATGTCTGCTAAAGCTGAATTTACGCTATTCAAGTATTAAAACTACAAGGTAAGAACCTTAACAGACATGGATGTAAATAAAAAGAAAGTTTAAGGTAAAAAATTCTTTGTTAGCGTCTGTTAATCTCATTCTGAGTTATTGACCATTGTAAGTTAATGGCGGGTAATGTTCTTTACTTTCGTTTCACCCATCAGGAGATGATGTTTCTGGAACTTGTGAACAATCAACTTCTGAAAAGCTAAGCTTTATTGATAAGTGAATTATAGATGACGAAAATATCACATTACTTGCATATCATTCTTGAGAAAATGAATATAGAATTAAATCAGGCTTGAACTTTTGAAGTGATAAATTACACAATATAACCCAAATTTTTGGTCTCTGGAAGGAAATTTACAATTATTATCTTCCTTAGAGGCAAGCATGATCCAGAAAAAAAATAAAAATAAAACTAATTTTCAAATACAAGCTGAGTTTTGTGTGCTACCTAATCAGACAGTCAAGACAAATAAGAAACGAAAGAATATTGTAAAATGTTAATCAGTGCTTTGACTTGGGCATAACTCCTCTCATATCTAGACTTGAGGAGTCATCTAATATAGGTATATAAACAATAATGTCAAGAACTAAAGCAGTCCTGATAATAATTCTCTGCATTGAACATATTTCACAGAACAACAACATATTAAAAACTGGATTCTATTTTCAAAAAAATAATACAGAAGGTACTGATGATGTCACTGTTTGTTTTGTTTGTTGAAGAAACAACCAACAAGATCTGTTCAACATATTTGGATTGTTGTATATTACTACAAATTTCTTCGGCATAAACAATTCGTCATCAGTTTTGACGTTTGTAGCAACTGAACGCACTGTTCTCTACCGTGAAAGATATGCAGGAATGTACTCTCCATGGGCCTACTCATTTGCACAGGTTAATCAGCTCTCTTGATATTTTGTGTGTAAAATACGAATAGCCTACATGAATTTTAAGCAAGTTCTGATGTTTTCCCTATTTTCTGCAGATGGTTATTGAGATTCCTTATGTATTCATCCAAGTAGGACTGTTCATGGTCATCATATATCCAGCAATTGGGTTTTATTGGTCGGCTTATAAGTTCTTATGGTTCTTCTTCACAATGTTCTGCACATTGCTCTATTTTGTTTACCTAGGAATGTTGATTGTTTCTTTGACCCCTAATGTTCAAGTCGCTTCAATATTGCAATCTCCCTGCTATGCCCTTTTAAATCTCTTCTCAGGCTTTATGGTCCCAAGCCCAGTAAGTGTTCCTTCACTTCTCTTAACTATTAACATGGAAGTCATTCTGTCAAGTGTCAATCCTGCTGCTAGATATTTGTTCTCAAGAACTTTTCAGTAACATACTAGTCTACTATAAATCGACTGCCAAGCTAAACCCAGTTATATTTCTTAGACAGTCTTGGATAGAATCAGTGACACAACATATTTGTAAACTAATTCTAATTCCAAAAAGCTACGTTGATTTTTTGCATGGTTTAGTGGTCAGCAAGGTTTTAAATATCGGTTATCGGGGATTTATCGGACGGTCAAAATCCTTATCGGATAGCGGAAATCGGGGATATATCGGGGATAAGTAGTATTTATCGGAGTGATATAGTGGATGATGTATATATATAATATAATAACTAAAAATGTAATCTAACCATGCTTAATAAAATATAAACATACCAAAATGTATCGGATAGCGGAAATCGGGGATATATCGGGGATAAGTAGTATTTATCGGAGTGATATAGTGGATGATGTATATATATAATATAATAACTAAAAATGTAATCTAACCATGCTTAATAAAATATAAACATACCAAAATGTAAATAACCATGTTTAGAATCACTAACCAATTGTTGAAAGAGAAACTTGCATCTCGACCGCACGATGAAACCATTCAATTGCATAGCCTTGAAAAAAAAATATAATGTTAGTCAAAATGGAATAATAAACAAGCAAAGGATAAGATAACATCACGAATAAAGAACCATCTAGGCATGTATAATGTTAGTCAAAATGTAATAACAAACAAGCAAAGGATAAGATAACATCATGAACAAAAGCTAATCAACAATCACCCAAGTTCCAAAAACAACAAATAGTTCATAATTCTAAACATTCAAATAGCAAATCCAAAAGAAAGCAAAGCTGCAAAAGCAAAGATAACTAAATTAATCTTCATCGGAGCTAAATGTTGGAATATTATCCATTCCCTCATCTGAATCATACTCCGAAGATTCCATGTCTTCCTCCTCATCTTCCAAAGGCTCCTTTCCCTTTGATGAAGATTCTCCCAACTTTTTCTTTCTTTTATATTGTTTTGTTCTAACACTCTTTCTCTTTTTAGGATTAGCTCCAATGAGATCTCCATATTGTCTCCAAGTAAGGGATTCCCCTGCAAACACTTCATCATCGCTCTCATCAATGATTTCATTTACTTTTTTCTTCACATCTTCGGGGACCTTCTCACACGGCAAACAATTCCCTTTGATTCCAGCCAAGTGTTGTTTGAACCGGCTTATGCCTCCACACATAGACTGCCCACAAAACTTGCACCGAACCTTTAAAGCATCATTACCAACCCGCTCAGCATATGCCCAACAAGAATCTTTACCGGCTGGCTTTGGTGGTTTATTAGATGCTTGGCCTTCAGAAGACATTCTCCTGTCAACATGAGATAGTAAACCATAAACACAAGTTTGAAAATAAAATAGCAACACAATTACACAATTGTATATTTATTTTATTTATTTCACCACGTCATAAAATTTTATGCCTAACACTGACTTGTTCTATTTTGTTGCAGACTTGAGATCAAAATGACATCAAGATTTTAAGGAATGAAGTAAGCAACTGAGGAAGACAACTTAAAATAGCAATTGTAAACTATTTGCAAATCCAAGTTGTATATTTATTTAAGTTGTAAATTAATTGTAATTACAACTAAATTTTCTTATACAGTCTCACAAGTATTTTCTTAAAATTAATTGCAATTATTCTATAAACAACAAACAAGTCTCACAACAGAATAAGTCTCACAACAATACTCAAAATTAATTGCTCAAGTAAAAACCAATTGCTCAAAATTAATTGAAATTACAATTAAATTTGCTTATAAAGTATTTTCTTAAAATTAATTAAGAGATATTTTCTATAAACAATAAGTCTCACAACAGATTACAATCTCACAACAATTAATTTTAGATTTACAGTCTCACAACAATTAATCCCACAACAATTAATTACAGATTTGCAGTCTCCACAATTAATCCCAGTAAATCAGTAATACAAGTCTGAGAAGTCTCACAACAGAAATTCTATAAGATTAAAAAGAAAAAAAATTCCTATTTGAGTAGATAATTCAACAGTCAACAGTCAGTCAGTCCTCACAAGTAGATAATATCTGTTCAAATCAAAAATCAACTTAAAAAATAGAAAACCACAGCCAGAGACGAAGGCTAGAAGAGAACGACAAAATTAAACTTAGGAAACAGCAGCAGAGAGAGAGACGAAGGCCAGAAGTGAACGAAAATGAACTTCGAAGGTGAGAAGAGATGAATGATACCTGTTCGAAGTCGAGGCGAGCGTGAAGAGGCGAGGTTCTCTGGAATTCGCGAAGGCGAGAGAGGCAGTTTAGGGTTCGCCGGAGATTCACGAAGTCGACGCGAGAGAGGAGGATTCACGAAGTCGCTGCTCGCTGGAGATTCACGAAGTCGCTGACTCGCTGCTCGCTGGAGATTCACGAAGTCGTGGTTGGCTGCTCGCTGGAGATTCACGAAGTCGCTGCTCACTGGAGAGTGGAGATTGACGAAGGCGAGAGGGGAAGAACAGCCGCCAGAGAGGAAGTCTTGGGTTTTCAGAGACGAAGTCGTGGTTAGGGCTTACCTTTTCTTTTCATTGCGATAAAAAACCTATGTTATCGGGCGATAATCTCCTTTATCGGCGATTTATCGCCGATAATGTGCCAAAAACGATAACCGATTACAATTTCACGTTATCCTCGCGGCCAGCCCAAAAATTCGATATATCGCCGATAATACCCGATATATCGCCGATATTTAAAACACTGCTAAGGACGCGACCTAAAATCACATTATTTCCTTTTTTTTGCGATCTGCTCCGTTGAACTTGATCTACACGTTCTTAAACCCAACACACCAATTTTGGGGTGAACCCGTCGTGCTTTGACCCTTTATCCACTCGCTGCAATTTTAACGGTTTTGAATGAATAGAACTTTTTGCACGGCTCAACGAATGGTCAAAACACAATGGGTTCACCCCAAAATTGGTGTGTTTGGGTTTAAGAACGTGTAGATCAAGTTCAACGGAGCGGATCGCAAAAAATTTTAGGAAATGATGTGATTCTAGGCCGCGTCCTTAGGTGGGAGCCTAGGGTATCACCTTAGATTCACTTTTCCCTATATATATATACATATATATTGTTTAAAGTTGATGAAGCTTTCACTTGTATATGTTGTTCTTGATTAACATTTGCTTCATCACATTGCCTCCTCCTCCTTTAGATATCTTCGTTGTAGCTCATATTTTATCCAATCCTCCGTAAGTGGTACTAACAAGCTTGATATATATATATATATATATTAACTATAATATCACTCAACAAGCAATTAGTACCGATAATGGTGGTTGTAAATCATCATCAAAACATAAGGGCTAACAAGATTATGTTTTAGATTACGTTTATGTTTTTGATACGGGTGTATCTTCTCTTCGGAAAAAGCGATCCTCATGGGAGCTTGAGGATAGGTGATTCTCAGGATATCTTGAGAATAGTAGTGTGAAGCGACACGGCGGAGCACAGGATGGATCGTGAAGCGAGTCCGAAGCACAGGATGGAGCGTGAGGCGAGTCGGAAGAACGAAGAGGGTTGATGAGTCGACTGACGGTTGATGAGTCGACTGACGGGTTGATGAGTCGACTCAAGAAAACGCCTCCAGATAGCAAAATGCTTCTGCTGAGTCGACTCATGAAAATCACGAGTCGACTCATGCAGGCCAGCACAGTTTGTGCACATTTTGAGTCGAATATGAGTCGACTGGTGATCATGAGTCGACTCATCTCAGTCATGAGTCGACTCATCGAGGTTTCCTGGGCAGACTTGGTTTCTGTTTGGAAGGAATCCTAGCTGGGTTTGGTTTTGATTATTTACCAGATTGCCACCACGTTGTAAACCCTATAAATAGGGACTGTTTAGGGTTCTAAACAGAGAAGAGAGAGGCAAGATGTAGATCTAAAGAGTTTTAGGTCTAAGAGAGATCCTGATCAAAAGGATTAGCAAACTGCCATCCACGTTTGTACACCTATATAAGGGATTGTTTTAGGGTTTCTAAACATCTTTTAGGTCAGAGAGTTTAATCAAGAGAGATTAGATTCTAGATTGAGATTTGGAGAGCTTGTTCTTCAATTCTAGAGTGAGATTGTGAGGGAGAGATTGTAATCTTTTGTTCTTCATAATCTAGAGAAGGTATTTTCCTTCGCCAAACTGAATTGTTCTTGTGTTTTGGTCGTCCTCTTCTCAACCCACCTTTTGGTAATTCCGCGACCAAAGGGTGCTCGCACGGCAACTCGTATCAAGTTGGTATCAGAGAATCAGATCCGCTGAAGGGCATCCTGTGTATGGTCCTTACTCGATCACAGTACAAGAAGCTTAGCGAGATCCTTTTCTTTGGAAGGAGTTCAGAGATTAAGGAAGAAGAAGATGACTGAAGTCAACAAAGATGGAGGGGTTCGAGAGTTTCCTCACCTGAAGTTCTAACTTGAATGGGACTTTAAGTTTCTAAAGGGGGACCCATGATACGGGTGTATCTTCTCTTCGGAAAAAGCGATCCTCATGGGAGCTTGAGGATAGGTGATTCTCAGGATATCTTGAGAATAGTAGTGTGAAGCGACATGGCGGAGCACAGGATGGAGCGTGAAGCGAGTCGGAAGAACGAAGAATCGAAGATTTCAGTTCTCAGCCTGATGAGTCGACTGACGGGTTGATGAGTCGACTGACGGTTGATGAGTCGACTGACGGGTTGATGAGTCGACTCAAGAAAACGCCTCCAGATAGCAAAATGCTTCTGCTGAGTCGACTCATGAAAATCATGAGTCGACTCATGCAGGCCAGCACAGTTTGTGCACATTTTGAGTCGAATATGAGTCGACTGGTGATCATGAGTTGACTCATCTCAGTCATGAGTCGACTCATCGAGGTTTCCTAGGCAGACTTGGTTTCTGTTTGGAAGGAATCCTAGCTGGGTTTGGTTTTGATTATTTACCAGATTGCCACCACGTTGTAAACCCTATAAATAGGGACTGTTTAGGGTTCTAAACAGAGAAGAGAGAGGCAAGATGTAGATCTAAAGAGTTTTAGGTCTAAGAGAGATCCTGATCAAAAGGATTAGGGTTTAGATTGTGAGGATCTATGAGATCTTAGATTAGAGTGAGATTCTAATCTTCTTTTAGGTCAGAGAGTTTAATCAAGAGAGATTAGATTCTAGATTGAGATTTGGAGAGCTTGTTCTTCAATTCTAGAGTGAGATTGTGAGAGAGAGATTGTAATCTTTTATTCTTCATAATCTAGAGAAGGTATTTTCATTCGCCAAACTGAATTGTTCTTGTGTTTTGGTCGTCCTCTTCTCAACCCACCTTTTGGTAATTCCGCGACCAAAGGGTGCTCGCACGGCAACTCGTATCAGTTTTGTACAAAGGAAGTTGTATTATATATGATATTTATTGTTTTAATGCAAGTTATTTCTATAAAAAATGAGTTATGATTTTTATGTTATCACTAGTCATGGATACGTGTAAACAAGCTATTGTAGTGCCATAGTGCGTATCAACATGCTAATACATACATAATTGGTGAGTATAAACAAATCACATGAATATGCACATAATCATATTTCTTAATTCATTGTATTGCATAGTTTATCAAATAACACAAATATGTATGTACAAATTATTGTAGATCATCTGGACAACAAAATACATAAGTAAACACCAAAATATTAAACATCATTATATTGCATAATTTACCAAAATATTTTAATGTTAGGTTAAACATACATTTCATGCCATTCATTTACATACAACATACACCATGAACCACCATGAGCCAAAAAAAAAAAGAAAAAAGAAAAAAGAAATTACATACAACATTCACCAAAACTCATCCATCGACCAAAATAGTTTCAAAATAACAAGATTATACTCCAGTATCTCTCCTTCTTACCATGTTAAAAGTAGCTAGTTTCTCATCTTTGGATTGAAGTATTTTTTTAGTTAGCGCCTCAAACCTATGAGTTGTTTCAGTTAAGCTATGAGTTCCTAGCTGCAAGCGAGATCTTGAAATTGGTTGCTTTCTGATTGGACATTTCTTCCTATGCTCTAGTTTAACAGGAATAAACATAGGAGTTAGTGTAGCTTTTGAAGGATCTTGCTAAGGATATGCAACGGCTTGTGGTGAGGGAAAATGAACAACTTATGATGGAGGAAATGGAGCAGGTTGTGGGGAGGGAACTTGAACAACTTGTGATGGAGGAAATGGAATGGCTTTGTAGCAATAGAACTTGAATTTCTTGTGAAGTTTGAGCAGCTTTTAAGGTGGAGATTGCGGTGATGAGTACCTTGGAATCAGCATATTACCTGACATATACATTGTCTCTTTTCCCAAAACCCCTACCTCTAAACTCTCATTGTGCAATTATACTTGGCCACATGACAAAGCTTCTAGGTTGTTGTTGGGCATCTGTTGGAGTACTAGTAGCTTGTTGGTGCATATAAGGAACTTTTGATCAAAATTAAACAAAGCAACAAACTAGGAGAAAACATATTTAGTAAAGAACTAACAGGTTGGTTGAATGTTCCCATATGCCTCAAGGGTACAACTTTCATCATTTTTTCTTACTACCATTTTCTTTCCTGGAGATTGTACTTTTCCAGTATAAAAATGCACATAAAATTCTTATACATGTATATAACACTTAGTAAAGATCTTATACATGTACATACCTGATACTGATACTGTGATACATGTGGTGTTTATCTATCTA